CATTGCGGATGCCGCAACAGCTATTGCGTCATCTGGTCCTCAGAACCTCTTACGCGCAGACACAGACGCGGAATATGATCAACATATTACAATCAACCTTTCAACCCTCGAGCCACATATAAATGGCCCCTTTACTCCCGATCTTTCGACCCCTCTATCCGCATTTGCGGGAAAAGTTCGTGAAGAACAGTGGCCTGAGACTTTCGGTGCTGGCCTTATTGGAAGCTGCACCAACAGTTCTTATGAAGACATGACCCGTGCAGAAGACCTTGTCAAGCAAGCTTCCGAGGCCGGCTTAAAGCCAAAAGCAGATTTCTTCATCACTCCAGGAAGCGAGCAAATTCGAGCCACCTTAGACCGTGACCAGACTTTGGCAACCTTCTCCGCCGCCGGGGGCACCGTCCTAGCCAACGCTTGCGGTCCCTGCATCGGCCAATGGAAACGGACAGACGGTGTGAAGAAGGGCGAGAGCAACGCGATTCTCACGTCATACAACCGCAACTTCCGCGGACGCAACGATGGAAACACTGCAACCATGAACTTCCTCGCTTCTCCCGAAATCGTCACTGCAATGTCATATGCAGGCAGAACCACCTTCAACCCCATGACCGACTCTCTCCCAACCCCCAGTGGCAAACCCTTTAGATTCCGTCCCCCAACAGGCTTTGACCTCCCAAAATCAGGCTTCGAATCGGGAAACCCAGACTTCCAACCCACCATAGCCGCTCCATCCCCTTCTTGCCCCGTCGTAATTTCCCCAACCTCAGACCGCCTCGCACTCCTTGAACCCTTCTCGCCCTTCCCCCCTCACAACCTCACATCCCTCCGCGTACTCTACAAAGTAAAAGGTCAATGTACAACAGACACCATCTCCGCTGCCGGCCCCTGGCTCAAATACAAAGGCCACCTCCCGAACATCTCCGCCAACACACTCATTGGCGCAATAAACGCCGCAACTGGCGAGACCAACGTGGCCTACGACACTGATGGCAGCACCTACTCCATCCCAGAGCTCGCGGCCAAATGGAAAGCAGCAGGGACGGAATGGCTCGTCGTTGCCGAAGAAAACTACGGCGAAGGCAGTGCGCGCGAACACGCCGCGTTGCAACCACGCTATCTAGGTGGACGCATAATTGCCGCCAAGAGCTTCGCACGCATCCACGAGACGAACTTGAAGAAACAAGGCGTCGTGCCGTTGACGTTTAAGGATAAGGCTGACTATGATAGGATTGATGCATGCGACGCTGTTGATACTGTTGGGTTATATGAAGTGCTGATGAGTGGCGGACAGGCTGATGAGGAGGTGCGGCTACGGGTGACGAAGAACGGGAATGGAGAGGTTTTCGAGATCCCGATGAAGCACACGTTGAGTAAGGATCAGTGTGGATTTATTCTCGCGGGAAGCGCGTTGAATTTATTGGCGAAGAAAGCTAATAAATAGGCGTTGATATTGTGGATGTATTTCCGTTAGACTCAGAAACATTTAAAAAAAAAATTCTATTTCAGTCGTACTATATGAAATAAGTTGTCTGCGTATTATAAATCTCAACTGGGGTTCAAACATTTCGCTCCCCCTCATGGGCGCTTAACGCCTAATTTGACAGCCAAGTTTTAGGCATTAAGCCTCTAAATTAACCCCAAATCTTTTTTGGTTGGGGTTACTTATTACTCGGATCTCTAGTTAGTGCTTGCAAGGATTATGAGTCCACGCTTCCGTACTCGTCGACTCAGGTAGTGAGTATTCCAAGAGCCTGTAAATATTGCAGTTTATTTTATTTTATTTATTTTTTATTTTATTTATTTTTTATTTATTTATTTGTATTTTTTTTTTTTTTTTTCAATGTGAGTAATTTGGTTTATTTATGATTGGCATTTCAAAATTCTCAAGAAAAATGGGAAATAAAAAAAAACTCGGTTGATGGTGTCGTTGCGTGTAAAGGGGGTGTTCATTATTTGAAGAAAAAACAAGGCTACGAAGGAAAAAAACCGATTCTGTCTCTTGTCGATATGGAAAGGAAAAGCAAAGGGGAAAGGGCAATAAAGGAAGAATAGAGACATGAATGAGGTAGCAAACATCGGAAATACAGGAGCTGGTTGTTAAGTTAAATAGACGAAAATTGGGGGATAGCAGGAAGGGGACAAGCAATGGACCACAAGAATCATATAATGGTTGACGGGTCATGATGAAAATGAATATGAACGGGAAAATACAGATAAAGAAAAAAAAAATGAACAATCAAAAATTAAACATAAGAAAAAAGCTTTCTAACACAGGCCCAGGTGTTCTATTGAAAAAAACTTCGCACGGCCACCTGGTATTTAGGGTTAACATTTGCGAAGATCTGATCTACGTTGACAGCTGACGCTGCCGCAAGTTGTTTCGCTGAGCTCGCGACGCGAGCGGCTGTAGCTCCTTGCAGCGTTTCTGCTTCGAGTGCCTGTACAATGAACGTAAACACCTTTGTTGCATTGTTAAACACTACAGGGTTTTGTCTGTTGGAGAGAATTGTTGTGAGTCAGACCCGGGACAAATTGTATTTTACAAACTTACGCATGATGTAGAAATAATGGTGGGAAGCGCGAGGAATTGAAATCTGAGTTCAAGGAAAGTTTGGGAATGGATACATACTGGTCAATAAGCTGCGCCAGGAACGAATACGCATAGGGCGCCGCTTCCTCATCATTGATAATGGGCAAAGTATTGAACCAATTCTCCACAACCTCCTGCGGGTTCTGCACCTTGCTAGAATTGTAGTGTAAAATCTTGGCGATACTGGCAGACGCGTTTTCCGTCGCGAATATATGTTCTTGGGTCCTGGCTTTAGGGTGATGAGTCGCCTGGAACAGGGTAGGGATACTCGCAGCGACAAACTCGCTCCATGCTAGCCCACCTTTTTGCGCAGCCATGCCGACACCGTAGCATGCCGCTTGCCGGTTCGCAGCATTTTCATCCCGCATGCCATTAAGGAGCGGGTGGATGATGTGATCTTTGTAATTCCACGATTGCTCGCCACAGAACTCGAGCAAATCGTCCATGATGCAAATGCCCCACTGTCGTTGGGTGGGGTCCTGGCTTATGATGAAGGCATCGTAGCAAGGTAGCAGTTGCTCCCAGGCAGGCAAGAAAGCTGGGCCATGATTTTTGAAGATGATGTGGAAGGCTTTGTTCATGTCGCTGAGAAGGTTCTGGTCTTCTTCAATTTCAATATTGTAAGAGTACGCATCATCGTCCCCGTCCTCGAGTTCTGCATTTGCTTCCAGGCGTTGATTTACTCGTTCCTGATAATCCTCAAGCGACGACTTTGCAGATTCGATAAATGCTTGCATCTGAACGGGGGTTAAGCTATTCTTCCCGGCAACTTCAACTGATTCATAGAAGCATTGGAACATTTCCGCAAGTGTGTCAATGGCCGGCTCTGCGCTTAAAACCTCGATAAGCTTGTCGGCGGTCTTGGACCACATTTGCAAGAATTCAGGAGCTTGATCACCGTGAGCTTTCTTGTAAGAATTTAAGAGCTGGGGGATTAAGTTAGCAGACGAGACGCGGACCGGGTCATGGAAGAAAAACGCTAGTCCTGGAATAGCAATCTTCTCCAGGGTCTCAACAACGTAATGGTATCGAAAGCAGCAGCAAGAACTTGCTGCGTAAATCGTAATCGAA